TTCCACAGCCGACCGCGCGAGCACGACGCCGCTTCCGCACGGCCCGAACGATGCTGTCCCGACGAAGAGGCAGCCCATCGTAATTCACTTCAACTTCGCATGTCCAAAACTCGAATTATGGCCGTGCGACCAAGCTCGAGGGAGCTCGAGTCGACTACACGCCAAGTCGGGCTTTTTTTGTGATCAACATAAAAAAAGACGGACGTGAATCTACGCAGCTCCAGTGAGGCTCGGCGACCTCATATTACCATCGTCGACCGACACTCCACGACGCGGACGTCGCCGCACACACACGCCGGCCGGCGCCCGCCTCAGAGCCGCCGACGCTTCCGGACCGAGTATATGACCCACCGGAGGGATGTGGCCAGCGCCTCGCACGTGTGGCGCTCCGGATGCCCGCGGTCAACGCGTCGGGAATGTCGTCGGCGCCGAGCTTCGGCCGCGCGCGCAGTCACGTTTTGGGCCCGCACGCATCGAACCAAGCACGCGGAATCTCTTATACCATCACTAAGGACCCGCACACGCCCCAAACGAGCCAGAAGCAGCGTTTCCGACGAGTCCGCACTCGGGCCTCTGAGAGCGTGGGCCGCCTACCGCTGTCACGCGACCGTTTTGAGCCGCGAAGTCGCCATCACGAACGGTTGGAACGGCTCCGCGCCCTCGTGGGGTACATGCGCCGCGGCCGGGGCCGTTTTTCCTTCGGCTACCGCGGCCTACGCGCCGCTTTGAGGCCCATCGAGGGCTAATCGGGTGTTCACCACCCAAAGGTTTGGGTGTGCCTTTCAGCGAGGCCTACGCGAGCGATAAGGCATCTGATGGGCGGCAGCTCGATTACAAAGGAGCGCGACTTCGACGCCCTCAAGCTGCTCGTCGACGCGGCGAAAAACGGGGGGGTCCCGCAGGAACAAGCCGAGCTCTATGACTACATCGTGAAAAATACGACGGTGAAGAAGTACGCATCGAATAGTTATAAGAAGAGTCTCAAAAGTTTCATCTCCGTAAACTTCGTCCCGAAAGATCCGGACGCGCCGCCCGCCAAAGCACGCATCGTCGAGGACCTGTCGACGGCGACGCCCGAGGAACTGACCTACCCCTTCTCGCCATACGTGCCGGGCGGGCCGTATTTCACGAACGCGGCGGTCGGCGCAGACGCCGCGGAGGAGGAGGAGCTGACGCCGCAGCACGACTTCGCCGTCGAGTTCTTCCAGGGCTACCGCGAGACGGTCTCGGTGACGCGCGTGATGGGTCGCGCGGTCGCGCGCGTGCCCGCGCCGACGCACTACGGCTCGGTGCGCGAGGGTTACAAGGACGAAAACTCTCATCCGTTCGGCGTGAGCTTGTTCACGAGGCTGTTCAGCGTCGAGGAGCTCGGCCCCAAGGCCGCGCAGGCGATGGCGCACGAGGACGCCCTCGTCATCCTCAGCATGAAGAAGGTTAGGGGCTCTCTGGTCTACGAGGGCGAGCTCGAGCGCATCGCCGACGACGCCTTGCGCGCGCGGGTCCTCGCGGACCGGGCGGAGCTGGCCGCGAGCAAGACGCACCGGGAGAGGGTCTATCACGGGGCTCGTCGTTTGGCAGCACCCGGCGTGGGGCCCGTCGTGCGCCGCGGGGACGGCTACCAGGTCAAGGTGCAACGCANAGGCCGCGACCACTGGGTCGACGCGACGGACGTTGACGCCATCAACAACGCGTCCGAGCGCGCCGTCGCCGGCTTCGGGTCGACGCACCTCTCGAGGCTCCAGAACGCGGAGACGACGAAGGCTTTGAACTCCGGCGCCCTCTCCTTCCGGGAGGCGACGGACTCCTGGCGGCGCCGCGAGTCGATCGGGACCGTGTTCCGCGCGGACGCGCTCGCGAACGTCGACGACGGCGACGACGGCGACGACGAGTGCGCGTCGGCGTCGTCGCCCGCGGGCCCCGGCGCGGCGCTCGAGCTCGCGAAGCAGTCCGCGGAGTCGCGCGGAGATCTCGCCGCCGTGTCGCCGCCGCGGACGAGCCCCCGCGGCGCGCGCGCCGACGACGCGGCGCCGACCGTCGACGACGACGCCGCGGACGCCCCGAGCGTCGAGGCGTCCGCGAAGAGCGACGCCGCGGAGCCGGCGCAGGACGGAGAAGGCGACGCGCGGAACCCGTCGCCGACGTCGGCGATCGACGCGCTCGCGGCGGCGCTCGTCGCCGTCGGCGTGAACCTGGACGCGGCCGGGACCGCGGAGCTCGTCCTAGGAAGTCTGGAGGCGTCCGGCTGGTCGCTCGTCTCCTCGAACGTGCCCCGCGGCCGCTGGGACGACTTGGACTTCGGCGCGTCGTCGGACGACGACGTGCGCTTCGAGAACCTGTTGCCGTTCTTGGGTGAGGGCGCGCGCCGCTGGACGGACGCGACGCTGCCAGACGAAGAAGCGGCCTGCTACGACAACCTCATGGACTACCTGTCGTCGACAGGCGTAGACTTTATTCGTCCGAGCTTCGCGCCGCCGGCGCCGCCGACGGAACTCTTCGGCATCGCGCGGGGCTCGCGCGCGTCGGCCGCGCTCCTCGACGCCGAAGCGCGGCGGCGGCTTGGCTCCACGTTCGAATTCAAGGCGCTCCTGGACATGGTCAACGTCCTCGCCTTCGATGAGTCCGACGTGGGCAAGCGCCTCGTCGAGCTCCGCCTCGGCCTGCGTGCAACTCAACCACTGGTTTGGGACGAGCTCAGGCCCATGTGGTGCCTGGCTTACCTTCTCGAAGGCGAGCAGGCGACGGCCGCGGGCCTGGTGCTACGGCCCGTCACCTTCCAGCTGAGCTGGGCGGGGATGCAGAACCTGCCCGAGATCGTCAAGTACTACGGCTCCGCCCGCTTCGCGCGCGTCTCCGACAGCGTCCTCGACGCCACCAAGGAGCGCACCTCCGACGAGCGCGCGAACGGTTAGGCCCAAGTAAGCGCGAGCCCCCGCGGGCGACCAACGTCGATGGGCTCGTGCGGCGCGCGGTAGTCGATGCCATACTCGCGGTAGTCGATGGCCTCGTCGGACTGGCACGCCGCGACGGCCTTGCCGAGCGCGCTGAGGAGAGGCGAACGCCTCGCGGGAGCCGAAGACCTCGACGAGCAGCGCCATCTGTCGATTGACGCTCTCGACCAGGGTCGCGCCCGCGTCGAAGCCCTCGGGCAGGAGCTCCCGTGTCGCTTTTGGGAGCGTCGCGTTCGTGGACCGCACGTCGTACCGGCAGCAGCAGTTCTGGTGGCTGTCGTCCTTGCAGGCGCTGAAGGCGGCGCATACGGCGCGGCGACCGCGGCCGCCGCGGACGCGCCGCTCGAAGGCGTCGGTCGCGGCGACGTCGATCTCGTCGGGCCGGCCCCGCTCCACGCAGAAGGGCGCGCCGGCGGCGTCGAGGCGTCGCCCGACGCCGGCCTCGACGTGGCCCGTCGGCGCCGTCGACATCTAGAGCACGGAGTGCTCCTGGAACTCGTGCTGCTTTGTGTCGGGCTGCGTCGGGTGGACGCAGCCGTCGACGACGTCCGTCGAGGACGGCGGGCTCGTGCGCCGGGGCGGGCGTCGCAACAGCCGACCGCGCGAGCACGACGCCGTTCCGCACGGCCCGAACGATGCTGTCCCGACGAAGAGGCAGCCCATCGTAATTCACTTCAACTTCGCATGTCCAAAACTCGAATTATGGCCGTGCGACCAAGCTCGAGGGAGCTCGAGTCGACTACACGCCAAGTCGGGCTTTTTTTGTGATCAACATAAAAAAAGACGGACGTGAATCTACGCAGCTCCAGTGAGGCTCGGCGACCTCATATTACCATCGTCGACCGACACTCCACGACGCGGACGTCGCCGCACACACACGCCGGCCGGCGCCCGCCTCAGAGCCGCCGACGTGCGCCACCTCCGGGGCTCGGATTCCCCGTCGCTCGAGCTGGAGGGCGAGCTGGGGCACGCTGTCGCGTCCGGTGCCGCCGCGGCCGCGGGGCGGAAGGACCGCGTGCTCGCGGCCGACAGCGGCGCTGTGGTCGAAGGCCTCGACGCGATCCTTCGCCTCGGAGGCGAGGTCGCCGAGCACGAGGAAGACCGTCAAGGGCTCCGTGTTGACCGCCGCGAGCTCGTCGCCGCCGCGGGCGACCGCGCGCATCTTGTCGATGCCGGCGCGCGGCGCGTCCGTGAGCCCGAAGGCCTCGAGGCGCTCCTGGATCTCGCCGTACCACTGACCATACAGCAGCACGGCGCGAGCCCGTCGTCGCCACGAGCTCGAGGTAGCCGTCGGCGAGCGCGGCGGCCTGGGACCAGCCCATCAAGCGCTGCGCACGCCGCACGACAGCGGCGACGGCGCGCTCGAGGGCACGCTGCGGCGGCGCTTCGCGCGTTGATCTCCGCAGTCCGCAGGTGCCAGAGTTCTGTCGAGGCTGCCCAGCGGCGCCGCTGTGCGATTCAGCGCGGATTACATTGCTACATGCTCCGATGTCGAAGTCAACAACGGATGAAACATCGGGCAGCGGGCGGCAGTAACGTTGTTATTGAAAAGGACGAGGGATTGGAAGGTGATGGACGCCGTTCGGCGTGATCAACAAGGTGTCGAAGGTGACGAGCCTGGGCTGCACGTTCTAGATCGCCACCACCTTCAACGCGCCCATCGGCGGCTGGGACGTGTCGTCGGTGACGGACCACAGGTCCTGCACGCTGGGCCGCCGAGCGCTTCAACGCGCCCATCGGCGGCTGGGACGTGTCGTCGGTGACGGACATGTTCGACGCGTCCGAGGACGCCGCGGCCTTCGACCCGCCCATCGGCGCCTGGAACGTGTCGAAGGTGACGGACGTGAGGCAGACGTCTCGGCGCCGCGCCCATCGGCGGCTGGGACGTGTCGTCGGTGACGGACATGTCCTACCCGTTCCGCGACGCCGCCATGTTCGACGCGCCCATCGGCGCCTGGAACGTGTCGAAGGTGATGAACATGGGCGCGACGTTCTCCTACGCCGCCACCTTCGACGCGCCCATCGGCGTCTGGGACGTGTCGTCGGAGACGAAGATGTCCTACGCGAGCTGCAGCACCGACATCGGCGGCTGGGACACGTCCAAGGAGACGAGCATGTACGGCATCGTACGTGGCGTGTAGACGTCCGAGGGCGGCTCCGCGGAGACGCCGCGCCCGTCGGTCGCCGCGCTCATCGAGCGGCTCGCGCCGGTCGCACCGGTCGAGCGCCACGCGGCCTACCTCGCCGTCGCCGCAGCGCGCGAGGGCGACGGCGGCGTCGCACCGCCGTGCTTCGACGGCCACGTCTATGCGACGACGCGGACGCGCGCCGCCGTCGACCGCCGCGGCGGTGCCCGGCCATGGCGACTCCTCTCGCGGCCCGCGGCGCAGACCCGGTCGTCATGCGGCCACCGCGGCGCGACCCCGACGGAGGCATCCAGTGCTATCACGCCCTACGCGACCTTGACCGCGCGCACCATCGCCGTAAGGCAGATCTTCAGCCATTCCCCGCAGGGAACCATGACCGCGCGCGTGTAGTAGTCCGACTTGCCCGCCATGTTGCGGAAGTCGGCGAAGTGGCAGTTGAGGGGGCCGAAGTCGAGGAACATGTTCATGGGGTGGTCGCCTGTGTGGAAATCAGCCACTGGTTTGGGGGGTCCCCACCAAACTTCAGAACTCTCTATCTCGGTCAAATCGAAGTCGATTCGGCTGATTTTTGGACGAATCGATTGCTCTCGTCGAGTTCCCGAAGCACGGCGGAAGAGCTCGCGTCGAAACGGTCGCATGCGCGCACATTGAAGTCTGGTTGAAGATTTGATTTCCACACAGGTGACCACACGCCGCGGAGAAGACGTGGTCGAAGTGGACCTTCTCGACGAGGGCGTCGAGGACGTGCGGCACCTCGCGCAGCCGCGGGAACCGCGCGGAGAGCACGCGCTTGATGCCCTCGGGTCCGAGCTTGTCGCGGAAGATCTTCTTGAGCCCGTCGACGCCGCGGTTGCTCCGGGGGATCCTCAGAG